GTGCTTGCCGGACTTGCCGATGCCGTGCAGCTCGATGGGGTACTTCCAGCGCTTGCTCAGGTACTCATCTGCAACGCACGGCCGCGGCCCTCACTGCCTGCACGCAGGCCGGCCGCCGACAGCGGCTCCGGACCAACTCCCGGTCCTCTGCTACTCTAACACGTCTCCACTTCGGAACATTTTAAATGAAAAACACAAGTTTTAGCTATTTCCTGGTGCAAGGAGGCGATGAATCCCTATGGGGTACATCTTAAGCACCTTCTAAACCAATCACTGTGGGTGGATTTTAATTAAAATCTCTCTCCTTAGCACCCACAGGGGAACACTTTTATTCCAAGTACAGCCAATGTCAGAATCTTAGAAAAATGCTGGCTGGAAGGGCCTTCTGGAGGTCACCTGATGCAACACAGCAGAGCCACCTCACCATCGTGCTGCTGAACACCGAATCGGTCTCGCAGGCGTTCCTGCCGCCTGCCACTCACAGGCATCCCCAGACAGAGGCCCCTGGCAGAACTCGCTACGCACGCGACTTCCCTCTCAGTGAAGACAACAGGATCAGCAGCTTTGCACGTGTAAGACCAACACATCCCACGGCTGCACAAAACAAGCCACCAGCAGTACTTGCCAAACAGCATGAAGTCACGGAGCAGTGTGAAAACAATGCTGTTTGCCCCGCCAGGACAATTCAGCCCATCCCACAGACACTCAGGAAAACCCACCCGAGAACCTGACGATCGTTTTCGCTCTGAGTTCATAGAGGCCAAGAGGTTTGAGCAGCTCCGACATTTCTTTCCAGTCTGCAGTCCTGGTTATTTCGGGAGAAGGATACTTCTTCAGGAACTCCCAGAGCACAGGAATCGCCATTTTACCTAAGGGAAGAAATCACTATGAACAAAAAAACAAATTCTCTTTTTTGATTATCTACGTACACTTTTTGAAGTGAGCTGCTTCTGAGGCAAGAGGGACAAAACTAAAGATTTTTTTTTTTTTTTACACTGACACAAGTTAATATACATTTATTCTTTCATTAATGCCATCAAAAACTGGCAGCTGCTCTGACCCTGTAACACCACTCCAACATTTACACAACATGAAACTGTGTTACTCCACTTACCCGAAGTTTTATTGAGAAATATGGTTGCAATGAGAAGTTTCCACGGATCATGGAAAAGCGTTTCTTGGACCAGATTAAAAGGAGAACGTGGAGGAGTCCACTTTCTGAAGACCTTCCTTCTAGGTGGGCTGGGAGCTGTACACGGAAGCAACATGGGAAAATTTATTGGGCAGCAAAGGATGGATTCATCTACCTAGATGAACGTAATTTTAAAAAACAAAGACCTTTTGAAGCAGATTCATCTTTCTGGGGACACTGTATGCAGACAAAGCAGTGGCAATTCACACAAGTTCTACAGACCTGCAGGGGACCGCGCGTCCCCGGGCAC